CCCTGCACTGGCTTGGGGCAGCACCCAGCCCATAAGAGGCCAGGACAGTCCCAACTTTTGGGAAAGAAACTAAGCCCTGGAAAACCTTGTTCTTCAGCATTGCCATGGTGGCTTTCAGAGCTGCAAACTGTCCTGCCTGCAGATCTGCATGGGGACACAGGGCTTAAAGCTTTTTAGAGTATTTCTTCCTTAGCAGAAACTTCCTGCCGGCCATCCACAGAGAAGTGGCAGAGGGGACACCCTGCTGGTGGGGTTGGAGACCCTTGAAGGCAAGAGCTGAAATCCAGTACTGTTGAGCTCCAGGAACACCCTTCTCCCTGCTGCAGGACCCTACCTACTGCCCCAGCCACAACAGGGTATCCCCATTGCCACAGTCCCATACTTGGAAATCTGACTTCTTCCAGCCTTCTTTCTCCAGCGGCTTCCGCAGCTCTTTATACCCCCAGACTGTCTGCAAGACGAGGGCAGCTGCTCGGACTTCTCTCTCTGAGCGGTTCCTGGAAAGAGGTGAAGGAAGAGATGTTTGGAAATACCCACGGCCTTGAGGAAGCTCACCAAGAAGCCCCTCATCAACTCTTGCATTCTTCCTTCCAGCAAAGCCTACCCAGATTTGTTGATCAGCACCAACTTCTCAATCCCCTGTGTTTCCCGCAGCTTCTTGGCAGCCTCGAGGTTGTCTACAATTACTTCATTGATGGTGTTGACGATTGACACTACTGTGTCCTCAGAGAGGTTTTTGGCTGGGGTCTGCTGGCCTCCAGGCAGGTTCTTCACTAGGTTGGGGATGGCATGTTTACCTGGGAAGAGGAAAGAGCTAGGAATGAGCAAGCAAGCAAAAGGACAGCAAGAGGGGGGGTGGGGAATTACTGCCGGAGGACCAGAGACAGGTGACCAACATTGATGTCCCTCTCAGTGGAGCTCAGCACATGGTACCCTGGGAGACAAGCAGTAGACAGATGCTGGGCTGATGCCATGCCCACACACTTCCTCAGCTGCCAATATCAGCTTAACCCATGTGGATACAGAGAGCATGATGTCCTCTCTGCTGCAGTCCTCACCTATCAGCTCTTTGTTACGCAAGTCAACAGCCAGGTTGCGCAGGGCTCCAGACGCTGCTTTCACCACTCGCTCGCTGTCGTGGGTCAGGAGGTCGGCAATGGCGGAGAGTCCCTTCTCCTGGCGCAGTGCCGAGCGGATGTACCGGCCATACTGCAGGCGAGAAGCAGAGCACCACGGTGTAACCTGGGCAGGCACAGTCTCTTCCTGCTCCTGGGGCTGGGGGCACCAGTGGGAGCCTTGCCACCCACCCTCATTCTGGGAACTGCGGGTCTTGGCTTCACCCATGCTGAGACAGACTGCAAGGGTCCCACTCCTGCCCCAAAGCACCCCTGCAGGCCTGGCAAGCAAGATCTTCCAGATAGTCTTTCCATATACAGCAAGAGAACGCAGGTCAAGGGGCTGTAGAGCAGCCCCAAACCTTCATCCCCTGCCCTCAGCCTACAGGAGGGAAGGAACAGCAGGGAGCCAGCTGCAGGCAGGGACACAGACAGGCAGCCCTCGGGAACACACGGCTGGCAGGGAGCACGGAGTCCTTGACAGCACAAGTGAGACCTGGTCCACACCTGAACGGTGCTGCCAAACAGTATCTTCCTGGGCAGCAAGCCATGTGCAAAGCAAACAGCCTGAAACTGCAGAGCCCAGGCCACCCAGAGCTCTGCTGGTACCCCAAGGGTGATGCTCCCTGCTCCCCAAGGTCCCCCTTCTCAGCTCCACGAGGCACTCGCTGTCCAGCTGCCAGCACACAGGTTCTGAATGGCTCCTGCCGAAGCCTCTAGGATGGCTGGAGTCTTGCTTTCCTTTAGAAGGGAGATGTATATCCGGACCACTTCTGGCTGGAAGAGGAGCTCATAGCCTGCCAGAAGAACACAGGTAAGAAAGACTTACTCAAGGGGTCTGCTAGCATCTGACACATTCAAAGGAGCACTGCTGGGCAGAAGAGCCTGGAAACTTTTACTCAGGCTCACTGCTCCCTGGATAGTGGATCCATGGTACAGAGGACGTCAGGCTGCCCCACAGTACAAAAAACCCCAGCCCCCAGCACCAGCCCTGATCAAGGATGGGGCTGCTGCCCACAGTCCCCAACACACCACTGCAGCTCAGGAGGGGTTTGGGCTGAGCCACAGCACTGATGCTATCAGCAAGGAGACTTCAATTTCAGTACAACACCTGGCTGAGCAGCACCCAGCCCACACAAGGGCACATGGTGGGGGAGCAAACTTGGCAGCTGGGTGCTGTAGCAAAAGGCTCAGCCACACTCTCAGCAGGAGGAAGGGGAAAATACCCTAAGCAAGCGGCCACCAACACCACGGTGAAAAGAGCTTGCATTCAGCTCATCTTCAGGGACTCAAGGCACTGGGTCTCCAGCCCTCCACTACCCTAGCAAGCAGGCAGGCAGGGATCAGGCCTTTAAGTATTAACTCTTTTCCATGAAAACATATACACAGCAGAGACTTCTGAAGCAGCCATGAGATTGCAGTCTACGTTGCAAACCCAGGTTTTCCATCCTGCTCTTTGCCCTCAGCTCTGGTGAGCTATGTCCCCAGCCCCCACAGACAGAGGAGGTGGCTTCTCAGGCTCCCACCAGAGATGGGTAATGACTCTTCTCACAGCCCAGGTCAGCCCAAGGAGTCACCACCACATATCCGAGCTGCTCACAAGGTCAGGTCTGCCCTGAGTTTCCTTGTGACTCTTCTAGCTTGACTGTCCACACCCCCAGGAGCACCAGGGTCCTCCCCAGAACCACAAGGTATACTGGGGCAGAAAGAGCTGAACTCAAGCCCTGGGCTAATGCCCATTGCTGGGCCAGCCAGAGAGGGGCTGTGATTCACAGCTCTCCAGGCGGCAAGATACTTGTTCCCAGAGGCTTCTTAGAATTATCCCTCCTCATGCTGGAGAACACTAAGGCAGGGTTTTTGGCTTTAAATCCTGCTTGTTCTTCACACCCAGGGGAGAAGAGCAGGCAAGAGGGCAACTGCACTGACAAGTCTGAGATCACCACAGAGAGCTACCCTTCCTAGGGCTGTGTCATCATGCTGTTCCTCAGTCCCCAGGGCAACAGTCCCCCCCACATTGCCAGGAAGCCTGTCTTGAGGCAGTACTGACCTCCTCCAGGCACAACAAGCATCCTCACAACCATCTGTGGCAGAGCTAGTGTTTTAACAGGCACCTGGGCAACCGGGAACATACATCCTTCAAAACAAACCTCTGCCCGTTTGGGAGGCTAACTTCAGTGGGAAATCAATTCTACCCACTCCTCTCCTGGACTGCTTGTGGAGAAGCACCCCTGCACACCCAAGGCCTGCACAAACACACTGAGGAACATACCTTTGGCTGGAGTTGTTCTTTTGGGAAAATCCACTGTATCGGCACCGGGGTCTTCTGGGACCTTTTTACCTTCAAAGGGCAAGCAGAGAGGCATAAGACACCGCCTCTCCCCATCTCAGCCCAACAGCTCTTTGCCACTTGCTAGAAGAACAAGCCCAGAGGTGAGCTGAAGCTAAGCTACCAGCATATCCAAGGAGGGCATGTCAAGGGCATTGGCCACACTGCAGGCAGTATGTGCCCAGCTGGTGGGGGAACATATAGCTAGAGAAAGCACCCGATTGAACCATGGAAAAATCAAAACCAAGAGCACACTCACCTCTGGAGAACCACTCGTCTATTGGCGAAGCGGAGTAAAGGACAGGAGAGAGGGGAGGCAGGAGGAGAGAAGTGCCGACAGCATCGTGGGGCAGATCATTTGGCAAGAAAGCGAAGGGAAGGGGAACGGACAACACAGGAGAAAAGGAAAGGTGTGGAGTTAGCGGACATCTATCCATCACCATCCCACCACCACAGAAACCCACCACTAGCTTGTGCCAAGTGCTTTGAGAAAGCCAAGCAGCAGCTCCCAAAGCCAGGGGAGACACAGACCACTGTGTCTCCAGAGAAAGCTGCACTTTAGCCTTCACACAAGAGACACCAGAGTAAGAGCGCAAAGACCCCAGACCACCTTAAAGCTCCACTGCAGTAGACCTGCCTTCTTCCCACCTCCCTCCTTGCTGCTGCCACCCAACAAACCTTTGCCCTTCTTGGCACCAAAGCAGCTCGCAGCATGGGGCCCAGCACTGTTGGCAGGGGCCAGAGGTGTCTCCTGGTAGCGCTCGGCATGGGGGATCTCACGGTGGACTTGGTAGGACAAGTTTCTCAGCAGGCACACACAGTTCTCCACCAGCTAGAGAGAAAGCCAGACAGTTTGACCTGGAGCAGCACATACCCATCCTGTGTCTGAGCAAGGGCCCCATCACAGCCTGCAACCCTGAGCCAGGCCAATGGGCACATGCAGCTCCATCTCAGACGGAGCTGGAGCATACCCCCATCCCAAAGCAGGCATGGCCAGCTCTGCTGGCATGAGTTCATACTCTGCTGGGCCAAAAGACTCTGCCATAAGCATGAAAGGTCCAAGGAAAGTCCCAAGGAAAATTCAAGCCAACACCTTGCCAAGGCATATCAGGGAGCCTCAAGCCAGGTGACACCAGCATGGGAATGAGTGACTCCACCAGACCCTGTCAGAGGGCCACCATTCCTACTGCAAACTGCCAGCCGAGTGCCAGACACCTCTTGGTCAGACAGCATCCAGGTCACACCCCATGCAGGCTCTCTTCCGAAGCAGAGATCGTGGAGAGGCATGAGCCTGACTGGGTTTTCCCAAGGTACACTGGTGTCCTGGTTTCAGCTGGGACAGTTAATTTTCTTCCTAGTAGCTGGTGTAGTGCTCCGTTTGGGATTTAGGACTAGAATAATGTCTATAACATGTTGGGGTTTTTTTTGTTGCTGAGCAGTCCTTACACTAAATGGTGATGGCATTTGTCTTCCTTCCCACGTAACTGCTATGTGTGGTGGAGCCCTGCTTTCCTGGAGGTTGCTGAACGCCTGCCTGACAATGAGAACAAATGAACTAATTCCGTGTTTTTCTTTTCTTGCACATACAGTTTTTTCTTTACCTATTAAATTGTCTTGATCTCAACCTACAAGTTTTACACCCCCCCCCCCCCCCCAATTCTCTCCCCAAACCCACTGAGGGGGAGTGAGCGAATGGCCGTGTTGTGTTTAGCTGCCTGCTGGGTTAAACCACAACATGCTGTCAGATCAAATCTCTCCCTGCTGAAGATCCCCCGATTCGTTCTTCATTCGTCTTGGGATGAACCCAGCTTCAGCCACCACGAACAGCAGCACACTGCTAGAGCTGGCTGTCAAGGGCAGAGCTCTACACATGCCCCAACAATACCCCCGCTGTGGTACCTTGCTGTCCAAATCCTTCTGGCCGATCTCAGACTGGACAACGTAGATCAGGGCATCCACCAGCCCATCACATTCCCGCAGCTTCCGACGGGCCTCGCTCCGCTCTGAGCTCACGTTCCTGGCAGACAGGGGACAACCATCATGGGAGAGACAGCTGAGGGCAGGCGAGGAACAGCCCACGCCCAGCAGAGCTAAAGCCAGAGAAAGACTCCCATAACTCCCCGCCACTACAGAAACACCTCCAAAATCAAGGCCCCCCAGCCACAACAGAAACACCTCCAAAATCAAGGACTGCATCACCAGTAGCTGTCTGAGGAGAGCAGCTCCTCTGCAGACCTCCCCTGTCAGTCCCAGAAAGCTAACAGGAGCAGCCACGAAGGAGCATTACAGCAGTCCCAACTTACACCAACTCTCTGCCAGCAGTTGGCAGCCCCTCTCTCATACCTAAGGCAGCCAGCAGTGTTGGTGAGCACCACCTCCCACTCGATATGGCGGGGTTTAGAGTCCTCATTTGGTTCCCGCTCCCAGCCCGAGTGGGGAATGACAACTTCATCGGTCAGGGCATGTAGTGCATGATCCACAATGGCCATCTTGATAGAGTCATGAGAGGACAGGTTCCACAGTGTTCCTGAAATGGGGGGGGGGGGTGTGTGTGTGTGATCAATCAGACCATGAAGGCTTAAAAACCTGCACTGTGCATCCCTCGCCCAACAGATCAGCCCCTTCTCTCTTCCCTGGAGCCATTACCTGTGATGACCTCTGTGAGGTCCATGTCATGGGCCTTCCGCAACAGGCGCACCAGAGCAGGAACCCCATCGCAGTTCTTGATGGCAATCTTATTGTCTTGGTCCTTGCCAAAGGAGATGTTCTTGAGGGCTCCACAGGCACCATAATGCACCTCTTTCTTGGGATGGTCTAGCAATCCCACCAGCACGGGAATGCCCTTCAGCTTGCGCACCTCTGTCTTCACCTTGTCGTTACGGTAGCAGAGGTGCTGCAGGTAGGCAGCCGCATTGGACTTGACTGCATCCAGCCGGTAGTTCAGCATGGCTATCACCTCTGGCAGCTCCGGCCGGCCCGACGTTTTGGGGGGGGACGGCGGCATGGGATGTGAGGGCATCCAGCCGGTAGTTCAGCATGGCTATCACCTCTGGCAGCTCCGGCTGGCGCCAGTTGCCTGGGGCCGGACCTCCCTTCCGCAGGCTGTCCAGACTAGCCAAGCTACCCCGCTCATGCTGAGCCAGGGGGGCCCAGTAGTACCGGTCAGGGGCCACTTCATCCACCAGCATGTCTTCATAACTCCTAGGAGAGACGACAGCAGACGTCAGCACAAGCCCTAAGCCTGGGGGGATGCTGTGACCTCGCCAACCCAACAGACAATGGGCTGAAGCACACACCATGTCTAGTCACCATTACCCTGCTGGAGAGCAGCCGACAGGCTCCCACCGAGGGCTGGGAACCAGGCAGCAGACCAGTGACAGAGCACCTTCCTGCTCCCCATGCAGGGTCCAGTGGGAGCCTGCAGCTGCAGGAGGCCACCCCGAAATGTCCCAAGGCCCGCTCAGGAAGCAGGAAGCCGTTCTCTAGGAGAAGGCAGCCTCAACAGCTATTCCAGGGCCTTCCCACCCACCCAATAGGTTTGGCTTTGGGTAAGGGGATGGATCCTGGTCTCTGCATAATCTCTGCTGAGGCAGGAGCTGGCCCCGGAGACACACAGCCCCACTGGGGCTGCAGACACTGCAGGGCAAATCCACCCCACCATGGACTGCTGGGGAGTGAAGCACCGGGGGCTTCCCAGGCTCGGCACACTGGCACTGCCTGGGCTCCAACCCTTCCACCTGCAGATACGCAGCGATACACACCAGCTGCACTGCTGCCCCAGGAACAGGCTTAGTCAGGCATTAAGGGATGCCCATGCTCAAGGATCACCCTCATGGCTTCCCACCAGGGCAGGGGAAGAGCTGTGGCCCCATGTCCCCTGTCCTGGTGAGTAGCAGTTCACCCACAAACCCAGCAGCACTGGGAATGAGCCCCAACAAGCACATGGAAGTGGCAAGAAAGTGCAACTAGTCCACCAGGCACCAAGGTGACAACACACCAGAACATACACCACACAAAATCCTGGATTCTCACCCCATTTCTGTAGTCACTGGCAATATAATCCTTCCTCCACCCAGGCAGAGGAATCCAGTGATTTCCACAGAAGTGGATGGGAAGGGATTTTGCACTTAAACAGAGGGGCCTGACCGCTGCTGGCACCCCTGCTGTGCCAGGACACTGGGGACACCCCACCAGGGTCCGAGATGAGGCAGCACCTTCCGGCTCATGTCTGCCCTGGGGATGGCTTGGCTACCCTCAGAGCTGCCAAGCAGGCGGAGGCAGGGGAAGCTGCAACGCAGGACGGTCACTGGCCCTGCTCCTTACACCACTGCCTCCCCCTACAGCCTCCAGCATGGGACTCACCAAAACCACTGGCTCACGGTGCAGTTGCTTTCACAGCCTCATCCCCTCAGGGGCTGCTGCTCAGCTGCCTGAACTGCACCACCACGGATGGTGGTAACAGGCTGCAAGGCTGCCTTTCAGCATGTCCCGACAGTGAAACGCGCTGCTTGCCACATGGCCTGGCTACCAAGAGATGCCAAGGAGCTCAGGCACTCCAGGCAGGTGCTCCCCGCTGCTGTGGTGCATGGCACTCAGTGCACCATGTTGACCACCAGCACCAACCCCACAGCAGGAAAAGACAAGCGAGATGCAGCTGAGTGCCAATGCTGCAGACAAGCCACCCAATGCTTGTCAACAGCCAACAGCTGACCTCACTGCCATGCCAAGACCCATGCCCCAAAGGGTGCCCCTGCCCAGCAGCAAGGGTCCTTCTGTGCTGGATACCCCCCACCCCTCTGGGCAAGATGGGCTAGTGGGGGGAGCACCCCCTGTGCCATCGCTGAACCCCCTTCCCTCTTCCCTTGCAGAGAGGGAGCTCCGAGAAGAGTCCCAGGAGAGGGGACCTGTGTGCTGTGCAGCCAACAGCAGCCAGCACACGCTGCGTTGCTCAGCTCAAGGCACTCGTCTCCCGCGTGCCTGGCAAGCTGCCTCCCTGAAGGAAGTCATTAACAGCCAGGCCCCTGCTCAAGACAAACATCTGAGGCAGAGGGGATGCTGACCTCGCCTATTCCCGTTCCTGCAAGCCAGGAGGCTGAGCGCCGATGGTAACTGAGAAGGCAGAGGACAAGCCAAGCTCAACAGTGCCTGGATTCCACAGATTGCTGCAATCTTTACCAGTCTGCTTGGGGAGGGAGAGCCTGCTCACAGGCCACACCAATCCATCTTCCATAGCCTGCACCATCCCTGCAGGACAAGGTGACATCTCCACCAGGGCTGCTTCTTGGCTGTGCCTGGAAGTGGGACATTCTCCTGCTGTTGTGACCAAAGTTCGCTGTCTCCCACCCAGCTGTGGCTCCTGCATCTAGCTCCATGCCCGTTTCCTGTAGCTTCCATCCTCTGGGTCCAGAAAGGCATGAGCAGCAGGGGCACCACCGAGCCCAGCAGAGAGGACTCCTGGTCTCAAAGGCCGAGCAGTTCAGATCAGGCCACCCCAGGAGGGCTTCTGCCCCCACGTGCTGGGCAGGACAGGAATCCAGGGAAGGTTTGCAAATCAGAGCCTTCTGTCTTGGCTAGGACTTGCTTCCTTCGCAGCCCCAGGCTGGAGCAAAGCAGCCACAGGTTGGACATGCCTGCTTAACCCCATCTGCCAAGCTACTCAGAGGGGCTAACCATAAGGGCCCATGTGCTCAGAACTGCTAATGCTGGCTTCTCACATGCTGCTCAGTCTGCGCAGACAGTGGGGCAGCAGCCTTGCCTGCCCTCCTCCAGCCAGCACAGCTTTGCAAGGCAAGGCAGCCAGGGAAATCGATCTGGGTGAACAACTGCCCTGACTGGTTCAGCACAGCAACAGAAACACTTGTGCTGGCACAAGCGGAAAGGGGAAAGCTCCTCCTTTAGCCCCTTCAGCAGCTAGGAACTACCACGGATTTACAGTGTGTCCTTGAGATGGGCAGATCTGCAGCAGGAGATGGCAAGAGCCTCCTTACCCTTGGGTCTCTCCCTCCTGTCTCTGTTCCATGCAGCCTGTGTCAGCCTTACCTGTCCCCCTGCTCCAGGGCACTCAGAATATGTACATCCATTCTAGCCTGTTGACACAGCCCCCTCCCCATGTCCAGAACCCAGGCTCAGCCCCTTGTTCCATTCCTACCTCACTACCCTCTGAGCCCTCCACCAGCACCTCCCCAAGCCCTGCTTGACAACCCAGGCAGCGAGCAGAGCAGGCCGAGAGGCTTAAGCAGACAGCATCAGCGTTGGTGCAGGAGACACAGCCGGCACAAGGCACCAGTCCACAGCAGTCAAGGCCCCAGGCATGTGACATCCCAGAACACCCAGCCGCAGGGCAGGCTGGGCAGTCCGTTGGCCCTTTGACCACCATGACTCCGCTCTGGCTGCCCAAGGGCAGCCACAGCCTGGCAAGGCAGCTGCTGGAGAAGCCACTGATTACTCAGACAAGTGAGGGAGAAACCACTCCTGCCGAACAGGTTGTGCAGCTTCTCCGGCCCTGCCCTGCAGAGGACCATGCTGCAGGAAGGCTCCCGAGGGCTGGGCCCCGGGCTCGGCACTGCTCCCAGGGGCTGCTCCGAGCACGGTCACAAGGCTGCTGTGACTCCTGACGCAGGGCTGCGCCGCACACCCTGTGCCAGGCACGGCTCCCAGCAAGGCAGGCCGGGCTGGGGTGCAGGCAAACCTGCTGTCCCAAGAAGGGCCCGAAGCTACATCTAACCGCCCAGTGGAACTCCTTGCTGCAGGACGACTGGCTCAATTAGCCCTGAGTTCTAACCACCAATTAAGCAGACAATTAGAAGCGGATGCAAGTTTTCTCCTGCATGAGCTGTGACTCAGCTTATGGTATTGTCTCTGCAATACTCCTTCCTCCAAAGAGGGTGAGGTTAAAGGGACACCGCAGCTCCCCCACCTCAGTGCCTCCTATGTGTACCTGAGCCGCCGCCGCGGATCAGCCGAGGTCCCCGTCCGCCTGGCTGTGCCATAGTCAGACATCATCCCGTAGTCCGCATCTTCAAAGCCCACGCTGCGCTGGTCATCTTCCAGGCCATATGGCTCGGGGTGGAAGTGGTTGAGGTCCATGTTGCTGCCCCCGACGCGCACCTGAGGCTGGGGGCCATAGATGTCCTGGCGGCTGGGGGCCCGGTAGGTGTCCATGGACGGACGGTAGCGCTCGTCAATGCGGGTGACACGGGACAGGCTGGCGGGGGTGTGGTCGGCGGCCCG